TTATTTTTAATAGAGTGAAATAACATTTGTGGTGGAGAGGACTTAAACTTGAGACCTCTCACTCTCTACATTTTTTTACAAAAGGTGAGAAGATCAATCAAATTGCACCCGATTGGCTCATTTATTTTATCAGCAATTCTTCATTTTTCTTTTTTTTCCTCCTTTTTATTCTTCATTTTCACTTTTCTTTTCTTTTTTTTTCCCTTTTTATTGTTCTTCTTCTACTCTTTCTTTTTTTTTTCTTCTTTTCGTTCATGTTTTTACTTTTTTTCTACTCTTTTTTCCCCTTTACATACATTTTTTCCCTCTCATCTTTTTCTAGTTTTTTTTTCTCATTCTTCTTCTTCTCCTTCACCTCCATTTTTCTTTTTCTCTTTCATCTTCTTCTTTCTTCATCTTTTTTCTTTTCTTATTTACATTTGTTTAATTAATTATCTTTAACTAACTTTTTTAAAGAGAATTTTCTTTAATTGTTTTTTTAAAGAGAATTCCTCATTTGAATGTGTGATTGACATAGTTTTCTAAAATTACGTCAAAGAAGTATTTTCACCTCATTTGTTGTTAATTGCATCATTTAAGATATATGTGAATCTTTGAACAATGAGGGGACCGATTTAACCGGGCGATAGGGGTGCCTAATACCTTCCCCTATTATACCTAACTCTCGAATCCAGTCTTACTCGAGAATTTTCCAGAATAAGAATGTAGATTCTAAAAATAAAATTCTTACTAAAGTAAGAGAACCATTTTTTGAGAATTAACGAATGGGTTAATAAAGAAAATCAATTTTTAAATAAAATCAATTAAGCCCGTTCTATTCGATTCTCATTAGACAATTCAGTTCTCCACTTTATCAGGAGACACCAAAATGAAAAAAAAAAAAAAATGCAAGTTTAGACACCAAAAGTAACCGTATCACTTCAAGGTTTCATTTTTTTTATTTCTATTATGTATATCAAATACTTAATTAGGAATTTTTAATTTGGTATGGTTTGATTATGATTTGAAGATGGAAAATTATAGTTTGATTATGGTTTATGTGATTGTGTTATGATTTTTTCATTATGAATATTTGATGTTGATTACAGTTTGATTATTATTTTATGATTTTTTTAAATGATTGTTTGAGCAATAATTATTTTTTAGACAATTCTTTTACTTGTGTATGATCCAAATAAAAATTTTGATTGTGCAAGAGCCATATAAAAAAGTATACAACCTATTAAAAAAAGTATAATTGCAAATCGGGTTAAATGGGCCCCGAATAATCCAACCCAATTTTATAGAGGTTATTCGGATGGACCCGAACTTTTTAAAGGGGTCGGTTGGACCAACCATCCCGCCTTATTTCGGGTTTCGGGTTGACTCAACCCGACCGTTGCTTAACACTAATTATTATGTTATAAATGAATATTTTATGAAATAAAATATTCTTAATGAATTTAACATGATTATATGAAATTATTTTGAAATTGAGAATTATGTGATTATGAGTATGATTATGAGTTTAATTGTGAAATATGAGAAATTGTTTATGATACAATAATTTGATATGAAAAATATGAATTTATAAATAAATGAATTTTATGATAAGAAATATTTTTCAGACTTGAAAGGAATTATTAGAGTAATTCTAAGTCCATAAATTTTATTATCGACACTGTTATGAATATGATATGACTGAATTGCATATAATAAATATTTTTACCGGTCTTAGTCTACTTGATTGAATCAATAGTTGTATAGAAGTATGACATATCATAGGAAAAATAGTATTGTCTATATGTTACATCGCAATGTTTTATAGAAGTACCAAATTCCATTTTATGGGAGTTAACCAACTCCACTTTTATTGGGGCCAACAAACCTCATTTTCTCGATGTGATTTTGATTTTGACTAATGTATCGTATGATGTTATATGGGATTTTGAGCTGTATATTTATTATGGAATTCTCTTGCTATTTGATTCTTCTAAGTATGATGAATGTCTAATTAAAATATAATTGATAAAGAATTGATAATTAAATATATTGTTCCTATGGAAATATGTTGAATTATGTAATGCTATGACTTAGTATGATTTTATATTATTAAATAATTATATCTGATTATTGAATTTTATATTATATGCTGTATTTGAATATTTTTATTACAGGACTAAATTATGTTATGATATGAAGTATTCTAGAGGCCTAAACAAGTAAAATATTTTATGGGTAATACTTAAGTTTAAGAAATGCTCTGGTCTATGAATTATATTTGCTTATGTGAAATACCATGAAAATAAATAAGGAATGTGTTTATGATAATTAAAGCATGAAATAATATCTATACTTTATATAAATGTAGGAATAGAGGGAGAATAATGGAATTTCTGATAGCGCCCTCGATAAAATTTGGATATCCTAAAATAACCTTAGATATAACCAATTAAAAAATTACATTTTATTAGTTGATTGAATATAATTTATAATAATTATTTTTTGAATAAATATATATAGATAATTAAGTATTTTGTTGATTGAATATAATTTATAATAATTTATTTTTTGAATAAATATATATAGATAATTAAGTATTTTTTAAAAATTTAATTTAGTATTTATCTTTTTTTTTAAAATTATGTTTCAATAAATAATATATATTATGATACGAGAAATTTGAAAATTTTTATATTTTTTATTATTTTATTCTATTTGATTAGTTTATAATATTTTTATTTACGAGAGAGATAAAAAAAAGAAAAAAAGCATATTATTTTTATTAATATTTCTTTTTTTCTATATATTATTTATGCGTTTATTGGATATATTTTTAAAAAAATAAATTTTCAAATAGAATATTTTTAAAAAAATAAATTTTCAAATAGAATATACATAATATTTTATTTAGGAGAGAGATAAAAAAAGAAAAAAGTATATTCTTTTTATTAATATTCTAATATTCTTTTTTTTATACGATTTGATTGAATGTATTTTATAAAAAATAAAATTTCAAATGGAATATACATAATATTTTATTTAGGAGATAGATAAAAAAAGAAAAAAAGTATATTCTTTTTATTAATATTTTTTATGTTTGTATTATTTGATTGGTTATATTTTTTAAAAAATAAAATTTCAAATACAATATACACAATTAAGCCTTTTAAAATTTATTTTTAAATGAAATGAACATACATGTGTGTGAAATGGTGGAAAATTGAAAATTTTAATTTTAAAAATATACATATAATATTTTTCGAAAGCAAGCAATCCGAAACTCTTGCATTACGGAGAATAAAACGGTACCAGGCAAGGTGGAATAGAATCCCACACATAACGAGCATAGTTGTAGGAAGCCCTTAATAACGAGTGAGCTCCTAAGAATTGTGTATATACAACTGTAATAAATTTTAGATAGATAATGATATAAATTGAATAAAAATGTGTGTATGGATACACTAACAATTACATTCATATTAATCTAGTATGAAATGTTGTTTAAACATTCTAAAAATCTAAATAATATAAGACATAAATTATAATCAATATTTACTATAAAAAATAAAAATGAGTATAAATAACAATTACAAAAAATAGAAAATAATTATAGAAATTTTTATTTTTATTTTCTTTTTCGTTACTGAATTAATTTGTAATATTATCAATTTAATTTAGTAAGAGATTTATATCTCCCTTATAATAAATATTTAGTAAGAGATTTATATCTCCCTTATAATAAATAGATGACCTTTTGATGATTAAGTATTTTTTATTTTATTGATATTTTTTTTCTTATATCCTAAGTTTACTTGACTTGAAAGAAGATAGTGTTTAGAAAAGTGAAAAGAAACTACAACTATATATTTCTGTTTTGGGTTACTTTTTGAGTTTTTAGAATTTGTATATATGTGCATATGTCCTTTTCTCTAATGCACTTAGTAAGTAATATTGCTAGTATAGTAAAAGTGATTACCATTATTAATTCAGATTATTTTCTCATTTTTTCTTTTACCTAGCAGTAAAAAATAATTTATTATTATTTTTCACTATAATTGCATATAGATTATAGATATTGATTTTGGGTTTGAGGGCATGGGTTGGGGATTGAGTGATGGCACGTTCGACTTTCTTTTTGGACACCTATTAGGGTTTTGAAACCACTTCATTATATAAAAATAACTTCATTATATAAAAATAAAATTAAGTACATAAGAAGTAGCATTACAAGTAGTTTGTATGGAAAAGTGTAATACAAGTTAATTGATTATATTTATTTTAATCTAAATAAAAAACTTTTTTTTACCACATCTAAACAAAAAAACTTATGCTTTAATATTATATAGATAAAAAATTAAAAAAATATAAAAAATAAGTATATAACCAACATAGTCAACGTGGAAGGCATGTCACAAAAAAGACTAGTAGTTACTTAAAAATATGCTTCTATGGAGAAAATGAATTATAATTGCTTTTATTTTATGATTTTCTTATTGTGTTGAAAGAAATGTTTATTGAAGAATTATGAATATTATTTTATTGATTATTAAGTAGTTAAGTGAAACAACTCGAGAATACATTTTCAAAAGTTTTTCATTTAAAAATTTAAATATTAATTTTAAACTAATAAAATTAAAGGACATTATTATATTTAAAATAAATTAATTAGTACCTTATGAATTTATTTAACAAAATTTAAGGTAAATTTTAAAGGATAACATTATATTTTATATTTGTTTGCATTCAAACCTTCAAAACTTTATTTAAAAATTTAAATATTAATTTTAAACTAATAAAATTAAAGGACATTATTATATTTAAAATAAATTAATTAGTACCTTATGAATTTATTTAACAAAATTTAAGGTAAATATATTTTATATTTGTTGCATCAAACCTCAAAACTAAATTAAACACATCAAAAACCCATAAACCAATTGAAAAATTAAACAAAACCCATAATTTAGGCCAAACCAAACTTGAATCAAACCCATATCAGCCTAGATTGTTTTGTCCCATTTCCTTCTTTCTCTCTTCTCTCCCCGTTTCAGCGACAACCCTATTCTCCGTTTCAGCGACAGCCCCGTTCCTCCCTTCAATTTTCGTTCACCAAAGCTCAAGCTCTGCCGACTTGACCACCCTCGCCTTGCTACCGATCCCTCCAACCACCGCTTTTCTTATTTTCGGTTTGTCATAGCGCAAAAGAGAGAGAAGAGCCTGTGTTATTTTCTGATTCAAGCTCCACATACAATTTCGGCCATCTGAGCTCAAGTCGCGCCGACCAGAGCTCCTTGTCATGTCATTCTTCCTCCGTTCACTCTTTCTCCACTATTGTTTTCGGCTAACGTAGCAATCAGGTGAAGCTGCGATTGTGGTTGTGATCAGGACAGTCAGCTTTTCATCCCTGCTTGCATTTTTCAGCGAAAACAGCCAAGGATTGGCTGGTCTAGGTCTCCTACGTCACCACCGGTATTCCTCCGGCGGCTCATATTTCCAATGTTGGTTAGATAAATACTTTTTTAAACTTAAGTATCTTCCTAATTTCTATATTACAATAATAACGTGATAAGACAGTACATGCCTTCGGTGTAGAATGTTACATTTATTATCTGGTCTTATAAGACCAGATAGTGGGTGTTACACGACGACTACCCTTTTCATTTCCCAGACTGATGGCAGTGGCAGTAGCTAGATTGGAGAGTAGATGTAGTCTCCGATCATTTTTACTGGAAAACTTCAGTCTCCAACGCGTTTTACAACTAGGTAAGCTGATTTTCAACCCTCTTTAGTATATATTTCGTGGATTCTTTGATCTTAGTTAAAGGAATTGAGGCATAAATTAAGTTAGTGCAGAAATTGAAATCCCTAATTACTATTTCTGCGAATTAACTTAGAAAATTTTGCTAAAACTTGTTATTGGAAACTATAATCTAAGTTTCTAGATAAGTGTGAGTAGATTACCATGCTTATGCCATGTTGTAGCAAAGAAATCAAAGATTCTTTAATATGGCAACAACTATTAAGTCGTTAGCTTAAGTTTTAATGAAGGAAATATATATTATATGTTAATCTCTTGATAGGAAATTTTGATCTTTACCTTCTAATTGGTATATAACCTGAATTCTTGTATAGAAATAGGCAAATTATTTGCTCATATTACAAATTTTTGCAAAGAAATAAAGGATTTCTTAATTACGATAGTAACCAACTTAGTTTTTTATATGAGTTACATTATTTTAAGAAAATGGTATTCTACAAAAATAATTATGTTGAGAAATAAATTGATTATCCTATAGAACATGAGTTTTGGTGGAGAAGCTTGAAGTTTTGTGTAATGGCAGTAGCCATATTGTTCATCTTAATGAGTTTGATAATGATGAGATTGTGAATGATATATTAAAATGAATATTTATTGATTAATGAATTTGCTAGCCTATGGGCTATGAGTGTAAGCGAGAATTTAGGATTTCTATGAAATGGCAGCTGCTACGAGATTGGTTCTTATGAATTTTGACTAATCAAAACTAAAAATGAGTGTGTTTTGATTTTCTTTAAGATGATATATTCTTGTTGGCTATGCTTTTACTTAGTATGAATGCGTAATCTAAGGACCTTTAAATTAAGCTTTGGAAATTTGGTTCATGCATTGATATGGAGAAAAAGAGATATGTATATAGTTTATGCTTGATTCATGAGATATATTCATATAAGTGAACATTGTGTGAAGTAGCTAATTCTAAAGCTTTGAATGTACAATACCAATTAAAAGATATAAAATAAGAGTTAATGGTGAAAGCTACTTATGGATTATGCATTATCTGCTTACATATGTACATATATATATAAGGATTGATAAATCTTATTATTTATTGGGTGCTGATTTTGGTATTAAAGAAGGATGGGAACTTGATTTGGTTGATTGCTCTACGAATGGGCTATATTGATTGAATGAATATATAGGCTACGTTGATTAAGTATTTGCCATTATTTTAACAGGTATATATTCTATTTTTAGGGGAGGTAAAGCCGAAATTTCGTTAGAATTTTAGACTAGCTATAGCAGATAGATATGCCGATAAGCTTATTAGATTAATCTTTTAATTCTCTATTTAAATAAAATTCTTCCTTTATATTTTTAATTTATTTAGATCGTCCGAGTTCGTTCATTGCTTCTGCGAATTAAAATCTCACCTAGAGTTTCTTCTTTTCTCCATTACTTTGAGTAATAATAAATAGTGCATACTATTATAAACATGCATACATTATTTGCCATATAAAGAAGCATACGTTTTTTTATGCTATTATATTATTATTAATATATGGTTATATTTTTATTTTTATCATATCTTTATGTTTGCATATTATTTGATAACTTATGCATTTTGTTGAATAATTGTTTGGTTACTTGTGTTGTGATATTGATGTACCTTGTTTGTGTGTGGACTTGGGATGTTGTGGGTTACCACAGGTTTGTGAGGGCGGTCTGTGATACTGTCGACCATAAATGGAGAGATTGGTGCCCCCTGTGCATCTATGTATGAATGATATGAAAAAAAAAAAACCACAGCATGGCCTCTTGCTGGTAATGGAAAAGAAAAGAGAGAAGGAAAAAACAATGAAAGGGCTGGTAAAGTGAGGATTAGACTGGTCAACCATGTATGAGGGATCAGCTCCCTGGTGCACACGCATGAGAGGGTAGGCCATGTGTGAGGATGACTCGTCGAGGGTTTCGGTGACGCCCCAAACCAATCTCCACTTCCTTGATTATGTGAACGTGGTATTATAGATGCTATTATTTGCCATGTGCGTGACTGATTGAGTGTTCAGCTTAGTGCCTTCAGGAATCATCTCGTTTGAATGTCTGGGACATGTGCTATTTATTATTGCTCATTGAGTTGTAAAATTAACCCCCATTTTTATTTAAATTTTTCAAGAAGCATTCTTTCTCTATTCCTACAGTAGTTCTATTTCCTACCACCACATATTTAAGAATGTAATAGATTTCTTATAACACCCTTCTTTCCATGTAACTACTATTTATATGATCAGGTTGTACGTAAATTTTAGTTGAGCTCCGCAGTTAATAGGTTTTTCTAAGATAGTTGTTTGTAAAATGCAACAAATAGTTACATTTTCAATATATACATTTAGTTAATTTTGGACTTATGCATTTCTAAGCTAGAAGTCTATAGTGTGATTATTATATGCTTACAGGCCCGTGATTTTTACATTTGATTACGATAATATGATCGGGCAGTGGTGGATATAAATGGAAATTTTACTTATGATATGGGCTTACTATTCATGATTAAGAGTTGGGACTCATTTTAGATTAGTTATTAGTTTAGGCTTACTATGGGCTTTGGAAGTCCTATGCTTACCTAAATCCTAGTATCGGTCCAACCTATGGATTTTAGTCGTGACATTAAGTAATATGAATTAGATGTGTATTGTTGTATGTATGTTGGGTGACTATGTGGTATGAATACAAAACCATATTGCATTGACTATTGAGGAATTAGTAAATGTTAAAAATAAAATTTATGTGTTAAGAAAATACTAAGATATGCAAATTTATGATTTAAATACTTGAAATAATATAACTATGTGAAAAATAGAATGTGAATATGATTAAATAAGGCATAAATCCATATGTTATAAATATGAAAATATAATGAAAATGCTAGTATGAATTTTGCATGCTCTTCCATATCTTTGCTAGTACATTGTGATGTACTGATGCTCAGAAATCATCTTGTGTTGGTACCATTTATATATGGCACAACCTAAGGGGGTGAATTGGATTTTCTAAAAATTTGACTTTCAAAAACAAAATCAAAATTCTGTTGCAGCGAAATTAGAAAGCGTTTGTGAGAGTTAGTTATCAAGTTTATTAAGGGGGTGAATTGGATTTCTAAAATTGACTAATTGGATTTTCTAAAAATTTGACTTTCAAAAACAAAATCAAAATTCTGTTGCAGCGAAATTAGAAAGCGTTTGTGAGAGTTAGTTATCAAGTTTAGAACTTCTAGACAAAGCTTGTTGCAAGTTTAGAAAGTCTCTGTGAAGAACAGTTACTGTATTTAGAACTATTTCATAAAGCTTAAGGAAATTTAGAAAGACTCTATGAAGAATAGTTATTACATTTAGAACTACTTCATAAAGATTAAACAAATTTAGAAAGACTCTATGAAGAATCAGTTGTTGCATTTAGAACTGCTTCATAAAGCTTAAGAAAATTTAGAAAGACTCTGTGAAGAATAGTTATTACATTTAGAACTACTTCACCAAGCTCTTTACAAGTTTAGAAAGACTCTATGAAGAACAGTTATTGCGTTTAGAACTGCTTCACAAAGCTTAAGCAAAATTAGAAAACTGATTATAACTCATATTATGATTTGTATTGAATGTAGAAGGACAGATTAGAACTTGGTATAATCACAATACATAAATCTAGAGTTCTAATGTTCCACAGAGATAAAGCTTATTCACGTTTAGAAAATGTTCCACAGAGATAAAGCTTATTCACGTTTAGAAATGTTCCACAGAGATAAAGCTTATTCACGTTTAGAAACAGAAACTCATTAACAACTTTGCATTTCAGAAAAGATTAATAGTTGTGTAAACAAAATATAATCAAGTAGAACTTTAGAAGATAAAAGAAGATAAAAACCAAGATTATAGTGGTCCGGCACTAACTCGCCTAGATCCACTCCCCAAGACTCATCTTGAGATCCTTCACTATATTATCTATTTTCAAGGGTCAGAGACAAACCAACTTTACAAGGAAATACATTAACACCTAGATCTAACCTTTGTCCCACTAGATTTCTAAAGGTTCTAGTCAACCTCAACCCATTCTGTTTTTGCAGAGAACATAAACTCACATCAACACATTAGAATCTCACACAAGGAGAAGGTTGCTTGGTAACCTATTACACCATAGCTTTTCAGCTAAGCTATTACACAAAAGTTTTTCATTTAAAAAAAACCTCTAGTCTATAACAAATTACAAAAATCTATACAGACAGAGAGAAACTCAATTATAAGCACATGAAGAATAGAAAATAGATTTTGAAAACAGAAATAAAGTTGTTCTTTAGAAAATGTTATTAATAATTTTCTTTTCTCTTTGAAAAATATCTCTTGAAAATATCTCTTGAAGCAAATATATGAAAAGAAATAAGGGGGTTTGAAGAGAGAGCTTTGAGAGATATAAAACTTTTAATCAATGGACACTTACTTTTGCAAAAACTGAATACTCAAAAGAAGAAGCAACATTTTTATAAGAGGAATGAAAATCCGATTATAAAAGCCATTGATCCTTTGCTTTAAAGAATATCTTTGACTTTTGGAAAAAAAAAAAGAAAAGATATGTGAATCTTTTACAAATGGTTGATTATTTGTTGCCAAAATAATCAAGCCAAAATCTTTTTCATTTAGGTAAGTGGAATTAAAAGAGCAAAGATTTGACTTTTCTTTTTAAGGCAATTTTCGAAAATATCTTAAAAATGATAATCTTAAAAATGATTTTTGAGAGAGGAAAATAGATTTTTGCTGCTTATGGGAATATTCTCTCTATCCTACAATATATTTCTAAGATATTAACCACTTAGAAAAATCTTTAAATATCATTTCTTAGTTTTCAAGAATCTTTTAGATTGTAGGAACTTGCCCTATCTTTAGCAATTTTCATATTAAAAATCTGGCATTAAATACTTTAGCACATACAAGAATATTAAATTTAATTTGTTTTGCATAATTTCATCCAAATCTCAAGATAAAATTAAACCCTAAGATAAAATTAACCCTTGAGCCAACAATCTCTCCCTTTTTTATGATGACAAAACTAATAAATTAATCAAACATAAAATCTTGTGCTCCCCCTAAGTTTATGCATATCAACAAAATACAAGTTCTGAACATAACAGATTTATCATGAAGCAAGAGTAGAACTTATATAAAAACTCCCCTTAAATAAGTGCAGTATAATATTTGTGGGGATTAGAAAAGATTACAGATTTAGAGACTGACATTAGAATTAAAATTGAGTTCTAAGGTCTAACAATCAGAGCAGACATTAGAATTAAAACTGAGTTCTAAAGTCTAGCAATCAGAACATACAAAGCATATTCTATTCACGTAGAAACGAAACATTAGAACAAAAATATCACAGATTAGAACATGATAAGCAAAGAGATTAAGTACTTAAAGAAATATACTATTGTGTTCTCCTCCAAGTACTCAAGCATCAAGTGTACTGTGTTCTCTCCCTTTTTGTCATCATAAAAGAGGGTTAGCAAATCAGAGCAAAATAGAAAGAGAAACAAAAAATAAACAATGCAGTATAAACAGAGCTAGAAAATTTTAAACAGAATGCAATAAAACAAATTTCAAACACAAATATAAAACAAAGCAAATAAAAAAATGTTCACAAAACAAAATAAAAACATATAATTATAACAGGTTGGGAAGGAGTCACTACAGTTCTGATTCAGTTCTTGGCCTTTTAGAACTTCTGAGGTTCTGAGTAGGTGAGGTCACAGCTGGATTCTCAGATCTTTTAGAAGAAGGATGTAGAGGAAATTTTCTTCCATGAACTCTATCCCTCCCAGCAGTATGCTTAACTCTTTTAGGCTTCTCAGAAGTAGGAATGTAGGGCATAACCTTAACTTTGAGAGTAGCAAGTCTTCTCTCATTGACATTCTTGACATTCTTCAACTTTTTCCATAGACTCAATGAGAGATTGAGTGTTGCTACCACAGCCTTGCCATGCTTTGATGGCCTCATTTCAAGTTCCTTGTTTGTGCTATTCAAAGAGATCATCTTTCCATTTTGTTCAACATTGCCTTCTCACTTCTGTGCATTAAATGTATTCTGAGTCTCTTGACTTCAGTTTTAGGCTCTTTCCTCGTTTCATCACTTATTTTCTAATTTCTCAGTTTTTTTAGCATCACTGCATCTTAACTACTACTACTACTTCTTCATCCTTTCTAGTTGTCTTAGATTCATTACTTCCAAGATCCACAAAATTCCTTTTATCTTGAGGCGCTTCAGTTTCAATCTCAGCTTCCTTTCCTTTCTTTTTTTCTTGTTCTTTTTCTGGTCCTATTCTTTTTCCATTTCTTCCCCTTTCTCTTTTTTTCTGCTTCTTCTCATTTTCCTTTTTCTTTTCCAATCTCCTCTTTTTCTTCTTACCCTCAGCTTCCTTTTTTTCTAAACTCAATTTCTTCTTTTCTATTCTTTTTTCTCAACTCTTTCTTTTTCTAAAACATCTTTTTCTATTTCTTCTTCATCTTCTTCATCTTTCAATTTCAAAGAGTTGCTATCTAATTTTGAAACATTATGACACTCCTTCTTTTCTAAATCTACTCCTAGAAACTCAAAAATAGGAGTCAACACCATACCATAGGGTAGCTTTTTAGGATTGCTCTGCATCTTATCACAAATTAAAAAGCTTCTTTTCAACTATGTGCCACATTATGCACAATTCAACTTGATTAACATAAGTGAGCCACTCTTAGGATAGATGTAGTGCACAACTAATTTGTATTACAAACCACTTCATATTTTTCATTTAAGCATTAGGAGCCACTTTTAATCACACTCTTGTTTTCTGCAGATCCTTTCTAGTAATTTTTCTTATAAAACTCATGTTTTTGTGCTCATCAACCCTAGTGGTTTTCCCTTAATTTAGTTACCATAACCCACTTTTTTTGAATTTTATAAATGTCGCTTAGGTCTGTGTAGGATAACACTCTAGTTTCTCCATTAATTTCATAGGAGAAACACTTCTGGACCAGTGGCTTTAAAAAGAGAGCCATAGAATTCTTTCTTCTGGACCAGTGGCTTTAAGAGAGCCATAGAATTCTTTCACCATAGTAAGGGTTATTCAAAGACAAGAACTCCATCCACCCTTGAACCTCAAACAACTCGCTAAAATTGAACTTTGGTTTCCCAAAGAACTTCCAATCAATCACGTAAGAGCGCATAAGAGGATTGGGGAAAGGACAGATTTACCTTTGCCACGAGAAGCTGAAATCTTTTCTTTCGCCTTTTCTTTTCCTCTCAATTTCTC